AATGGATTATTCCTAAAAACTTATTATCATTATATCTAAATACATTACGCGAGTAGTAATTAAATAAAACACTTTAACGGTTTAAAACGCGTAATTAGTTAAACTTATTTGAAAATGATCTTTGGCCCCGCGTTTTGGATGCTTTGCAGCAGCCGTGGTCACGGGGAGTCTCTCACAATATTATATCTCTCAATATTACTACCTATATTCGTGCAGCTAATTAAAAAAAAACAATCTGTAACAATTTACTCTTTAGTATAAGTGTAAATATATTATAGGTCTAGCTGTAACAGCGACTTCATCCGCTAAGAATATTTATTATGGACATCCAAATTCGTTTTTTCAAACCCCTTTATATTCTTAAGTTGTTACCTACGAAGTCGGTCTCGAATTTCATGAATCAGTTTTGAGAAAATGCAAATGATTAGTAGTACAAATTTATCAGTTACAAGCATAGGCAGGTAAATAATATTACGATATTCTATACAATCTATACTAATATATAAAGCCGAAGATTTTGTTTGTTTGTTTTAACGCGCTTATCTCAGGAACTACGGGTTCGAATTGAAAAAATATTTTTCTATTGGTTAGAGCATTTATCGAGAAAGGATATAGATAAAACATCGCCCTGTGACTAATACAAGTGAAGATACAGCGGGAAATATGAAAAAATATTGGAAAAATATTCATCATTATGGGTTTCCGAGGCGTACGCTGCAAGAACGGATACCCAAAAATATGTATGAGAGAATGATTCCTCTTTCAATTATCTAAAAAAAGTTCGCGAAGCTATATGGCTATCTTTTAAGATTAACTAACAAGAACGACGTGAAGGCGAGAGGTCGTCCCCCACACTTTAGTTACAAACTAAAAAAAGAAAACTAAAAAATGAAGGAGTTTGCAAAAACGAATCTGGATGCCTAAAATAAGTATTCTATGTGAAGGAAGTCGCTGACATAGTTAGTATGTTATATATGCGTCTACCATAACTGACGAAAAAGACTAATCGTGATGATCTTGAAGCCGCGTAACGCGTGTGCAGACAGCAGCGTTGATAGAAGACCGCGGCCTAATTTTCTTTAGCTGTTTGCGTAACAAGTTGCTTGATGGTGTAAATAAATTTAACGCGCCTCGAAACTTTGATAGAGTCCGCACGTGTCGCCAAGATAAATTGCGGAAATAAAAACAAAATACGCTCGTGAAAAGGATGTGTTACTTAAAAGGGTGTGAGAGACATGGGAAATTTCTTTGAGCGATAAAATACTAAGCTGGAGTCCTAAGTATTCGCATACGTATTAAAAATTTAATTTGGTTTCATTGCTGTCAGTGTTATCGATTTTTCAATTTAGATTTGTTTATAAAACGATCATGAACATAACTTGTGAAAAATTGCAATTATCCAAAACTTTTGAATTGTAGCAATGAATAACGAATTGAATAGATACCCAGTTGAATAAATCACTTTAAACGGATTAAAACGCAAAAAATATTAGTTAATTACCCAACGTTAGTAGTTTAATTTAATGTGTACGCTCGCCTATATAATAATCTTACACGTTTATTTTTTATTTATATTGTTTAATTAAATATGTTTTCCATTTATTAATTAAATTAATAATAATAAAATTTTCAAGCATAGTTTTATTAAATTCAACATTTCACCCTCATTACAAAATTGATTCCTGGAATTTTAGACAACGACAAACACAAGTGGTTTGGTAAATCACTGTTACAGGTTGGAGTCTCGGTTGTGCACCTATTTGATACAAATATAAATGAGAAAAGCTTTGATTACACTGACATGTAAGAATCACATACATTTTTATGTAATAAATTTTCCCTCGTTTAAATACTGTTCCTTTCCGTGCAACTAACTAAATTAATTCCACTCTCAAAATTAACATGAAAAATAATCACACGAATGAAAATGTAATTGGAGTATTATTGTCTGAAAAGTTCAACATCAATTTCAACAATTAGAACAAAGAACTAATTGGTTAATTGTTTCAACTTTCAACAAAAACCTTTGAAATAATAGGTTTTTTTTTTGTTAATCGTTTAATTAAATATTCATGACCTTTTTAACTTCAAACTGTAGATGAATTATGATTGTTTTTTTATAAGAATTTGGTTGGACGGAAGCTCCATATTCTACAATTATACATAAATAATTATAATATCAAAAGGTGGTCACGTGGGGGGGAACGCCAGGTCATAATTCAATTATTTTGCAACGCGTTATAAACCGTTAAACTATTATATTTTACCATGGATATAATGGAAGCAAACATTGTAGAACTAAAATAGTTTTTCTTTTTTTATAAAAGATAATTAGAGAGGGACAGCCTGACAGAATACATGGTATATTATACGGATGGTATGTGGGACTGCGCATCTGCACTGTCCACCTATTTTTTGGTTTTGAAACCTCTTAAGGGCGATTAAAGTTGACGGATTTTTCATATGTAGACAGTGGTTCGTGACCCGGACTTTTCGACATTGTTACAGAAAAATTATACATTTATTATAAAAAAAAATTGTACCCAGTGGCGATCGAACCCATGGCCCGTTGATTATTAGTCAGACTGCTAAAGAGCCCTTCAAACAACAAGACCCCATGAGCTCGCAGTTAACTTGCATACAAGAGATGCTTTGCATTCACAAAAGAGCTGATCTCGTAGATTTTGGAAATTATTCAAATCAAACTACGAGTCGACCGGCAGAGTTTACAAAGTGACCTCGTCGCAACTTTTCTAAGCTTTATTTATTATGTTTAATATAAGCGATTGTAAGTTCTCTTTGTGATTAATTTAATCTTTATTTTGCACAAAAAGTTCGGCTTGAAAACCCAAAACAATAAAGTAACGCAATGTTTGCGTGTCACTTACTATAAAAATTTGTAATTAATAACCACGATGCTAGTCGTTTATGTTAATACCGGCAATTTTTCTTTACACTAATGCGCGTCTATGAAATCGACCTGGAACCCAATTCTGCCAATTTACAATATAGACCTACCGCTCGCATATCGATAGACCCGTGAGAAAATATTTTTCAATTATTCTTTGAATGGAGCCAAGTAGGGAAAGTATGGAGTTAGGGCGCTAGTGCAAAATGTAGTAGGTAATGTCTAGCTGTCTGTATTTTATTATACTCCGTTGTAGTAAAACATTTTTTTTTATATTAAAGTGCCTAAAATAATTAAAATTACCTAACCTTTGATAATCTAAAATAGATTGAAAAAATTTTCGACTCGGGCAGAACTTGAACCGGCATCGTCAGCGTTCCGTGTGCTGTTTCTCTAAACGCTGACGATGCCGGTACAAGTCTTGACGAGTCGAAAACTTTTTTCAATTTATTATCGATTTTTAAAGTAGTAAACTTATTTGAAATTGATTTTTAACTTCAGCCCGACGTTTCGGATGCTTTGCAGCAGCCATGGTCACGGGGAGACAGTCAGACAATTTCAAATAAGTTTAACGAATATATCGCATTTTAAACCGCTAAAGTGTTTTATTTAAATGTTTACTACTCGCGTAAACTATAGATAGTGTTTAAGTTTAAAAATCCCACTGAATAATAATAAATGTGTAGAATATAAAATAACCCTTTGAAAATATGACAGAATAGTCTTTAGCTCTTGTGTTAGTTCATTAAATACCAATAGTTTTACTAGTGATAATCTAGTAACGGACCAGCGATAGTCCAGTATATAGCAGAATTGGCGCCCTGCCTCAAACCCTACTTTGCAATTTCAGTGCTCAAGATCTTATCTCTATCAATTATGGCCCATAAAACGTAATGACTTCATCGTAAATCTTCACTCTCCACGACACAACTTCACTTGGTGTTGAATAAATGAGGTCAAATTGCTGTACGTTATAATGGCCTCTTAATTACTGTGCGTATAGTTAGGGATTCCTTTAAGGCTTAATGATTGTTTGATTTTAACAATATAGAGCGTTTTTGCTTAAACAGCCGTTCAAACAAGTAAAACCGCTTCATACATTGTTTGTAACTGAGCTTTAGTTTTAATAAAATAATTAAAAACAATACACTCTAAATATACATTTACTACCAGATGTCAAATGAAGGTGGAACGCACGAGTTCTGGTAAGAAACACGCTGCCACTCCTTTGTTAACAAGTTTCATTTTACAGTCTTACAAAATATACTACATATTTTATTCTTAACAGAGCACGTTCTAGCAAAGCCCAAGTTTTGTTAAAATTTAAATATTTAGTTTAGTCGCTTTAATATTAAGTTAAAAAGTGCACCAAAGCCATTCCGTTAAGTACGAGAGGTCATGGACTGGAATCCCAAGAAAACAAAGATATTTCGATCAAAGACTAATCTCTTTAAAAATGGAATATCATGTTTACCGCCTCAATAGATAGTAATTTATAAAGAAACGTACGATCTTTTAAAAAGGGATTACCGTGTCTAGAATAGATCTTTATCTGTTCACTCTGCATTGGACACCGCATTCGAATGGGCGTTTCTCATAGATATATATAGTAAGATAACGATTACGTTTGTGATAGATCTAGAATTTCTATCAATGTCTGTTTCATTTATACAAAAAAATTGATTTCATTTTGAAAGACTTAAATGCAATTAGCTTTATTTTTCCTGTTATCAAATTGATAGGACGGATGTTTAAAATGCAATTTGATCGAGTAAAAGATATAAAACAATTAATATAACATTGTACTATTTATTCCGAAATCTTAAAACATAGACTTACAAAGAAAAAACACTTAAAAATAGTAATTAACAGCATTTACCATATTAGCGAGGTACTCTCTTAACACCCTACATCTAAAAAGTATAGACAATCCACTGATAGAGTACATGTGATATAATAACTCTATTTTCAAATATCCGTTCTAAAATTCTAATTTTGAAATTAGAGAATTTTAGTAATTTTAAATTTAGAATAATAATAATATTTACATGAATAAAGTAAGAGTAAATAATCTGTGTGACTATAGTTAGTATTAAAAATCTATCGGCGGTAATGGTGGGTATTTTTTGCGTTCTGAATGGTGGGTCACGTGATGTGCTGGACCTCCCTGAAATGAACGTGGCTTCCCTTTCTGTTTAGCTGGAAACAAATATCGGATAATGTTTATTGATGTTAAATGTAAATACATATAATTATAATAAAAAGATTTAGCAAGATATTTATAAAGTATCGCATTATAAATATTAAAGTAGCGTCTGTAGTTTACGCGAGTAGTACACACTTAAATAAAACACTTATTCTCTGTTTAAAGATAACATTTTGAAGGTTTAGACAACATAATACCAATAGAGTAAACCGTTTATTACGGGTTCATTTCTCGTCTGCTATATACATATTGTATTTTACAACTTTTTGCGTTCTTTATAAAATATACTCCGTTTTAAATCCATGTTGCGTTCAAACTATTTGTAGTAAAGCAAGACAAGCGAAGCATTCGCTAATAGCTATCAGTTTCAAATAGCATATCGTAATTCTAAGCATAGCGTAAGATTCGATCCACGAAAATTCTGTGGCCTAGAACTGGAATGGAACTTATAATTAATTAAAATATAAGTTATACAAGTAGCTATAACAGAAGTACTACAGACATTTCGTTTCGTTAATTTGTATAAATTAAGATTTTGACAGCAAATAATTATAATTGACTAATTAAAAATTAAACTATACTAGTATATAAATCTGATGAGTTGTTTGTTTGTTTGAACTCGCTTATCTCAGTAACTTTACATCTATCTTGAATTTACATCTATCGTGACAGACTATAAAAACACAGTGACTAATGAGAGCCAAGTAGCCGCGGAAAATGTGGAAAAAAACGGGGAAAATTATTCGTCTTTCAGGGATTCCGATGCGACGCTGCAAAAACGGTTCAAGAGCTAGTTGTTTAATACAATTAAAAATATAGATCACGATTTATCAAGTTAATTGTGAGTATATTTATCTTATGTTTAAACTTCAAACGAAATACGAAAAACACCTCTAAGCACTTACGAGAAAAATTTTCAGTCAGGTCCTCCGTTTTACAACAGACAGCTAAGTAACGCCTCAATCGCGATGCTGTATAGTAGATAATGGTAACTAGAGTTATAAATCCGATTGTCTTCACCAATATGCATGGTTCATAACACTGGAAAGAAAAAGTCACTAGTAAGATGAAGAAAAATGATTAAAACAGCTATTTTCAGGCCTGACATCGATATCGATATTTATGCATGTTTGTTCCGATTTTACCTCTGAATCGGCTGGGCTGATTTTGACACTTTGATATATTTTATGTAATGTTAAAAAAAAAAACTTCAAGTTATATAAATTATGATTTATCGTTCTACTTTTTAATTTTTGTAGTTTAATATAAGATACATATACTAAAATACTGTCTGTAGTTTACACGAGTAGTATACATTGAAATAAAACACTTTAACGGTTTTAAACGCGATATATACAATAACTGATATATATCGCGTTTTAAACTGTTAAAGGGTTTAATTAAAATACATAAACTTTTCCAATCCTCTCCAGTTCACCCAGAAAAGAAATTAATTGAATCGCACGTACAAAAGACCGACGCAGACGACTCAACGTAAGATGACATCCGCCGGAGCCTGCATCTGATACGGTCCCCTCCGGGCAAGATGTACAAGCGTTATCTGCTTCGGCTGAATATGTATTCGGTGGACAGATGCCTGGAAAATCGTTGGCTTTAATTCGATGTTAACCAGCAAAACTTCATAGTCGTGTCGTCCTATAGCCGATAGATAAAATGTCCCTTTAATTACTTGGGTGTCGTGGAATACAAAATAGAATTGTCAAAAAATCATGTTTTAAGCTGTTATATAAAAATAAAAATAAAATAAAATATACTCTTTAAATATACATATATAATTACTCTTTGAAATTTTAAAAATTATTTAGATTCGTCACAATTATTTTGTTTGTCTCTCTTTTTGTCGTGATTCTACAGAGTGTTCAAAAGAGCAACATAACTGAGAAGAACACCCAAGAAACTCAGTCCGGCTTTTTTAACATGTCTTATAAACTAATACATTGTTGAATATTAAGAATTATAAATCTTAGAACGTTCTTGTTCTAATTGTAATTAAAATAATATTGATTGCTTGTAGCTCATTAATTTAAAACATACAACACATAAATAGACTGATCCACTATCCCTAAATTGGGACGAACATATTTCGGTTTCGTTTTTCTTGGGATTCGAGCCCACTGTAGCGCTTGACCGCATTAGGAGAGACAGTGTCGCCTTTCGCTGGTAAACTATTTAAACAAAATTATAAAAAGCTCTAGGCAACACTTTAACTACGAAACCATGCACAGTAAGTAAAAAAGTAAGCCGTAAATAACATACGTAGGTACACAAATATTAAACATTAAATTCAATGTAACTTAAGAGCGATAAAGTAAGTATGTAATAGTACTAGCGTAGTATTATTTTAGTGCTTACAAGTGTTTCTTACCACATATTTTCTGTGTAGATACCAAGAAAAATCCCGCGGGACACGCTACGACTACATGAATGCTGTTCGGTTCAGAATTTGCAGCCAGTGAGTTATACTCTTGATGGCCGTTGGTATCTAAAAGTAGGTTGAACCATATAATATCTAACTAAAAATAACTGATATATTCTAGCAAATTCCACAAATCAAAAAAAAATTAAGATAATTCCCTTTTTTTGATTTGGACAGTTTTTTTTAAATCCGAAAAGTCAAACCGTAGTTAAAATAAATAATTTAAATCGCGTTTTAAATCGTTTGAAATGCTTTATTTAAATGTGTACTACTCGCGTAAACTGCAGACAGTTTTTTTTTACTCATTTTAGTTGTAAGTTTTGTACTTTGTGTTAATAAAAGGATTATTTATTTAATATTAATACTAAATATAATGAATACGAAGACCTAAACCTAGTATATGAATATAATTACCCTTAGTTAATGAAACATCAATGAGGCTTTGTGTTAGATAATCTGTGCAATGTCAATACATTGATTTAATGTTGAGAGGACTGTTTACTTTTCTTGTCTATGTTGGTAGTACATGTAAAATCTTTATGTTTTTGTTTTTCCCGCTATTTTTCATACGGATCTTTGTAGAAATTATGATGCAATATAAAAACAGCTTGACCATTTAACTAAATCTCGGCCTTTTATTTCAAAATAACTTTACTTTTAATCAAGTTTCAGGAAGAAGTAAAATTAAAATATAATAATGGCGCTTAGAAGAACCTTGGATGATAATGTAACGGATGGTCCTTTTAAGGAAGATTTGTTTATTCTGTATAGCATTTAGTACAGGCGTATCTATTTCAATATACGATAAATAATACCTTTAATAACACAAAAAATACTAAGGTAGTAATATATTATTCATTAATTACCCCTCGTCCTCAGAGTGTGGCTGACAAATGATTTATGTACACGCGAAGACGGTGTCCACGTTTTGATTTCTTCGAGTATCGAGCCGTCGTAGTACGCCATCACGACTAGAATTAATATCGTTATAAATATCGTTTTTATTCGTTTACTCAGAATTCGAACCTCGAGTCTAGCGACTCATTAGTTATGCAACTACAGCATATAGCATATCTTGTCGAGATATTGACATATATTGCCTATTATAAAAAAGGTATTAGCAAAAGACAATTAATGAAGACAAGAAGATATAAATAAGTAACTACATACGCACTAAGCCCTTGTTTATGATCCGATACTTACCTGGTATAGAGGCCAAAACTGGAGCATTTCTGGCAAATAATACTGCCAAGGAGCTTCTAAGATTTCTTTGGCATTCGGCAGTACAATTTACAATCCGTTTGTATTGAGGAATTAAAACCGTTATTGTCCGTAATAAATAAGTGTCATCCTCCTACAAAAAAATCCGAGATGTCAGGTAACAGTAGGTAAAGAACCACGATTGGTGCGCTTACCTTATTCCTCAAGCATACAGGTTCGTCAATTCTGACGGAACAATAATTTCCACACGTCAACTGTCTCATTAGTACACCCACTTTTTGTATGGCGCGTAGATCCTAGAAATATCTAATCTATAGAAATGTTTATAATATAGATACAATTATTGCGGGACAAAGGTATATTATAATATATATTTATATATCTAATTAAATTAATTGAAAAATTAATTAACTTTCAATTAAAAAAATTAATTGAAAGTTAAATATTACATTAGCAATACATATAATGTTTTAAGTGTTTTAAAAAAATGTCCTCCGTCTAATATTATTTTATTACAATTTAAATTATTAATCCAACTAATATATAAAGCTGTTGAGTTTGTTTGTTTGTTTGCACGCGCTAATCTCAGGAACTACGGGTTCGAATTGAAAATTTATTTTTCTGTTGATTAGTACATTTATCCATAACATTGCGCTGTGACTAATAGAAGCGAAGATACAGCGGGAAATGTGTACAAAACGGGGGAAATTTTCCATCTCTCTGGGTTTCCGATGGATCCGCTGCAAAAATGGTACAAGACACTAAAAAAAGTCTGCGACGCTATATGTCTATTTTTAAGATTAACTTGCAAGAACGACGTGAAGGAACGTAACCGACGTAGTGGGTAACGACGTAAGTTAATAAAGATGAAGGGGTTTGCAAAAACGAATTTGGATGCCCAAAATAAACGACGAAAGTCGAAGACGACACGAAGTCGCTGAAACAGCTAGTGTATACTAAAGGTAAGTGTGCATTAAAGAGCTCGATATTAGGTTTGTAAGCTTTGCAAAATCAATGTAGTTTTTTTTTTCAGTATACGAGTAGATATCGTTTAAGAATTAATCCTATTATACAAATCGTATTGCCGGTGTTTTATATAGTAACAAATTATATATTATACAATATATAATTTATATCTGTATGTTTCCTACAATTCGTTGTATTAAAAGTGACTCACTTTGTAGCTGCAAGAAGAGGATGTTCTATAAACTGGCGTGAAAACTACATTAAAGTTGGGAACATCGATCACGTTCACTTTGACACTCCTTACAATTATATTGTGCTGGAAAAATTTTCAAGGCTATATTTATTCCCAAAGAGGATGTTGCTTTAAAATATTCCTTAAAGGAAACACGTAATACACTATTTCAATATAAACTGTATATATTACGTTATGTTTTTTTAAATGTATTTTTGTGTTAGTTTGGGTTTACACCTTGTACGTTCCTATAAGTAAAATAGATCAGTGCTCCATGACGAAGTAACTGGGGTTTCACGCACAAAATAAATCGAATTATTTGTGAAGTTGAACTATACAAGCATTTTTTATTATATGTGCTGTTATAATAACTATAAAATTTAGATTCATAGCATTATATTGTAAACTTACATCGTAGCACGAATAGATACCAGAATCCCTCTTTAGTAAATTCCTCAAATGCAGTACAGATCCATTTGTAAATACATTTTTATTTTCAACATTATCTCGATCTGTCATCCAATTTAAGTTCTCCTGTTCGACGTCACTATAGTTATATCCGGAAGGATAACAGCCCATTGATAATGAATCTCCAATCATAGCAAAAACTTCGTCCTTAAAATATATTTTTAATTATACAATATGTGATAATCGTTCACAAGCTTCTTTAAAGATTGTGATCCGAAAGTGGTGGTTCAGTAATGAATCGCGTTTCCTTACATAAATAAAAAGATAGAGGTCCTAAATTCCAAATTGATGATATTGATGTTGATGTGACACGTGATGATGGGCTGGGCTTAGAAGTTTAGTCACCTACTGGGGCTGTAGATAAAACCAATCAAACACAAAAGTATGTTTTCTTTTAACCATTATAAAAAGAAGCAAAACAGTTTTTAATTTGTATTATAATACAATATTCTTTAGCCTTACGGATAGCGGTCTTAAAGGAGGTAAATTGGTCAACTTGTGTATGAGATCTTCAGCACTATTGCTTCTTTTAACTCTTAGTAAGGTTTCTTTATACAATCCTTCAGCTCCTCTCTCGTACTTTTCAAATAAATCATTACGGTGCTCATGCACTTCGTAAATATAGTCACTTCCTAAGAGTTGTCTATCCTCGTGGTCCGAAAACAGTTTATTAAAAATGATAATTTATAATACGTGGAAAATACTTATATAATATTTTTATTTTAAACAGATATAGACTCCTTTACTTTGCTTTTTTGAACCAAGAATAAAAAGAAATAAATAGCTGCCCCTTAGCTGAGCAGAATACATTTTTCTTATGCATTTAAAATTTTTAAATCAATTCAATCGAGAATTTTTAAGATGGAAAAACATATTAACAGCACTGGATTGACTTAACGCGTCATTTTTCTATAGATTACAATATATCAGGGACATAAATCGTCTCAAGGCAATTAACAATCTAAGGCTAAATAAAGTATTAATAGGTAGATAGAATACCTTTCACGTCTATGACGTATAACATCGAATCCGTAGTCGTCGTCAAGTTCCAATCTCACGTCATCTCTAGGCAATATCTTGTCTCTAATCTGTCGTTTCCTCAAAGCTGTGTTATCATTCGATTCCCTCATACAGACACGGTGCCTTCTTTTGTTTCCGCGTTTGTTAAATTTTATCAAAAACTTCTCGGGGATCGACGCCAGTTTGTAGCAATTGACATTCTTGACATACTCTTCGAATTTTTTTTCGTTCATCAGGTTCCTCCTACTCATAACGTGTTCCACAGTAGAAGATATGTCGCAGAGATATTTTAGGTTTTTATCGTCGATCTCTTGAAAGAATTTTAACAGTTATCGAACTATAGCTTGTAAGGAATGAAGTCAAAAAATGAAATGTAGTCAGTCTATACAGTTATGTAACATGAAAATATATCTAATAAAAAAAATAAATAACTTTAATCATATCTTATGAATAAATTAAGAATATAGAAGTTGTAGAAGACAACTCAATCAAAATTATTGTGTACTAAATATAAAAAGTTCAATAAAAAATACCGTAGTACCATTGACGTTGTTTTTGTGGTCTTGTTATTGGATTTGTTAGCTAAAATGAAAAAAGAAAGTGTTCAAGTCCGTTTATCTTTTTTTTTTAAATATTATTTTGACAAATAACATAATTACCTGTCCCCTTTACTTTACTATCAACTGATGTAGCATGTGGTTTATTTGTCTCAATTGTCTGTGTTTTGTGGCAGCGTTCCTTAAAAAGATCTTAGATAAATTGGAACACAACAGTACATTGATAATAAATATTATATACAGAACTATATACTTATGTATGCAAATTATGAAAACTAATACCTTTTTCTTTACTTCGGATGTTATATTCTTCCTGGAAAATTTATGTGCCCATTTTTTAATAAAACCCTCTTTTTTTTGGTCAGTTAGGGGGAAAAGAGTCGTGTTAGTGTTGTCAGTATTGAAATTTACTGCTCGAATCCACTCATTGTTGATAATTTTCGAATTATAATTCAAAATAGATAAAAGTAAGCTACGTAATTCATTTTCCCCCGTATCTTGGGTTTTAAAAGATAAATCTTTAGAGTTATAGCGATCTATTATAATGATTGTAGGGTTTTCTTTTATGGTGACATTTGTTATAACATGTGAATTCAATTTATTCTTAGGTAAATTATCATTAAATGTTGTGTATATACTTGTTGTATTTCGTAAAAATCTCTGCTCAGTTATGTTTTTGTTTGTTGAAAGAAAATTCATTGACTTTTTATAGTCTTTTGTAAACGGGTATATATCTGGACCAGGTTTTGTAGTTACAATATTTCTGGTACTTTTACTAGTATCCCTTAGTTTCAAAGTGGTTTTTACAGTATATTGGTTATGAGTGCGCATTAATTTATTCAATCCAGCGAATAAAAAAGTTTTTTTTGGTGATGTTTTTAGCACAGGGTAAGTTGAATTATTATAGTCTTCTATCTTTTTACTCAAATCTTTAAAAATTCCTCTATCATTGACTTCAGAATTACCTAATAATCTAAATAGCTCATTAAAATTATGCACAAATAGGTCATTATTTGTGTATAAGTTATTAAGATTTGTCGTTAGTTTTTTCCATTTCCTTAATTTCCCTAGTACTTTGGTGTTTCAAAAGCTTTGTATTTAATTCTGTTTTAGTTTTGTTCGACCTATTATTTAGTAGCAAGACATTGACGATAGGTTTTGAAAATGTTTTTCTCTTGTATCGAGGTTGTACGTGCTTTGCAGAAAATATTTGGCTTTGTTTTTGCTTAAAACGTCGTTTGATAAAATCTTTCAGCGTTTTCTTTTTCTCATTTCTTTGATCCAATTTCTTTCCATCTAAATAGTTAGAATATATTTCTTTTATAGGTGTTATATTATCCCTGTTTGTATAGTCTTGCATATCATGATTATAATTACTAGTTGTTGTCTTGACTGTATTGGAACTGCATAGTAAATTTATATTTATATTTTCGAGAGAGTAAGAACTAGACGGCTTACATTTCTTATGTTGATCCATGAAAGATCTACGGGATCTACTTTGAGATAAACACTGATCAAAAATCTTCTGAACTAAGTATCCACTATTTTGAATGCCTTCGTCTAACAATCCTAACGTAAGCACATAGTCCAAATCATCCGATAATTTAGACAATGCAGTTAAGAATGTGTTTATTTCAAACTTATTCCTAATTTTATGAAATTGTTGTGCAGAGCTTCTTTTGTCAACACCTGAAGAAAACATTTTACATGTCCTTCCTTGACACTTGCCTTTGACCCTTTTATAGTAATCGTTCAAAGATTTATTTATCTTGTTTACGACTTCCCTTAATTTTTTTCCACCTGTCGGGTTCATCCAGAAAAAAGTTTGAATCTCTGTACAGTGGTCTCTCATATATTTGGCTAAATTATCAAATTCAAAAATTAATTCTGTAATTACGGCATTACTTGCTGCGCATGCTTTGCACATTGTTTGATTTGCCTTACAACGACAGTTACAAACCCTATCATGGCCGAAGAACTTTTTGATTGAATCCCAACTAATGCTTCTTTTATGTTCACTTTTTCCATTGACATAGTTTTCATATTCACTTGTCATAGTCGAATCAAGTACGTCATCGACAGTTGGATCAATAAAATCCGACATATTTCCTGCTGTTTGCACGGACAAACTTGGATTCTTTTTCATTTTAATAGGTTTTAATATCAATTGTTCTTCGGGATAAGACGCATTGTCTTTTTCGACTAACAAGTATAAGCCTGGAGACAGTTTACTGTCACCAATTGTCGTAGGGGTCAGTACGGTACTTTTTTCAAATGCATGCAGCTGATATGCTATGTCAATCGGTGAAGCCATTATCGCAGAAAAAACTTTTTTAACTTGTACTGATTCCGGCGACCTCTTAAAATTATCAGCATTGTCAGGCAATGCAATATGGACTTGAATAGAATTCGTTACTTTTTGTTTATCGTCTTGTTCATATATTAATTTAGCATTTCTGTCTAAGGATACATTTTGAGTTTCTTTTTCGTTATATTCTTGGTTATGTTTACGTAAATCGATAATTATTTCTAAAGCTGCTACATCTTTTGCAGTAAATGTTTGAAAATTGGAACCTCTCCCTTTAAATAGATCGTCACTCTGTAAAAGGCGACCTAGTAGTTATAAAATAAAAATTAATTACTTTGATTATCAGATAACATTTTTACCGTTGTTCTTTTTTGTTTTATCTGCTGTACTAAATTAGTCTTTAATTTGCTTATATGTTTTCCATTATTTGTTGTTGTTGGCAGCTTCCCCGTTATTTCTAAAAAAATAATAGTACTATATACTATGCACTATTAGAACGTATTATACCTGTTTATCTAATATGTAGTTTAGATAATATATATATACGAACTAAACCATCTGAATTATTTATAAGTAAATTAAGTAATTTTGCTAAAGAAAAATCATTGGAATTTCCGGTCGCTTAAGAACACAATACTGTGTCTTAACGAATTGCATTTATGATGAACTAGACAATTTCTTACCGTTTCCTCTTCGTTTTCTTTTCCCTTCCTTTGGATAATAAGTATAGTCATATGCAAAATTTCCATTAGACCTACTCGGAGTATTTTTCATATTATGTGTAGTTTGTTTCCGATATTCAGGTCCATAATGTACGGGCTTTACTCTATTAGAGGGAACTTGTGTAGAGAAAGGAATAAAATTAGGCAATGGCGATGTCACTGACTGAACATCAATCTGATTTTCTTCCAGGAACTTATTAAACTCATTTGATGACATTGGTAATGGTGTCGAAGAAGTAATGATCCGGGGCTTTGAATGAACTAATCTTCTTCTTAGGCTCTTTCTGAAAATACATTAATAAAATATGAGACAATAAAGCATTGTAAATCACAAAAAAAATCTTTGGACCGCTAAGTAATTTTAGTCTAAAGAATTGAATTTGAAAACTAGATGAAGCAACCTGAAAAGTTGTAGGTGTATATAATAAAATTTAAATTATTTACTTGTGACATATGACTACTTTTATCTATGTGCTTTGAAAAATCTTTCCTTTTACTATCTGAAACAAAACAAATTATAAAAAAAAAATGAAACTTTTTCAATGTTGACAAAAACCGAATAAAATTACCATTCAATTGCTTCATATTTTCAACTTGATTCCGATTTTGGCTTTGATCAACAACTTTCTTCTTATCACTTGTTGTAGGTTTAACTGTTTTGTCAATATTTTTAGATTTTTTCTCAGAGTTGTGCGTTTTAGACAAATGGTATTTGTGACTAGCTCTTGAAATAAAATTTTCATTCCTTCTATATTGCTCTTTCTCCTTACCGTTATGAATTACTTTATAATTATATAGTTTACCGAGACTATCAATCACTTTTATAGATGGCCTATTATATTCTAAGTACGATTTTTTATTTTTTGCTTTTTCCTTTACAGGCTTTCCCCTGCCTGACTGTGATATTTGCAAGTTTCCATCGCTCACCAAATAATAACCAGGGAACTGGGTGGTCTTCAGTAACTTCGTTGTTTTAGGTGTTTGGCCTCCAAGTAAACTTTCTAGCAATGGGTCCATTCTGTTTTGTGTTGCTTCATATCTTATATTTGTTACTTTTGTAGTCTTTAGCGGTTTGATATTTATTTGATCCGCAGTTTTTATTCGAATATTTATTATATCGTCAACTCTGGATTTGTTGAAATAATAATTGGGATAGTCGTAGTTCTGCGTTTCCGCCGTCATTTCTTTGTCTAAAAGTAAACAAATTACGTTTATTTTCATCTTAATGGTTAAATTTGCTAAAATGGATAACTTTTTTAGTGAACATCGCCACTTTTATCTTTTTATTGCATTGAAAACTAAATCTCACCAGTTAAATCTATTTTGTCATTTGATACGTAATATTTTCCCGGTTTCGTATAGTACAGTCCTTTATTGTGAACATATTTTCTAGTGGGTAAATTATTAGATACGTAATGTCTCGTATAGCCATAATCGAGTAATGATTCCAAATTGCTTGTAATGTTTGGTATTTGCCTCAACATGGCATCAATGTTTGGCAGTTGTGTATTACGGTTTACATCTATATATTTACAGTTCGGATTAAAGCTAGATGCTACTATGTCGTAATCAAACAATTTTCGCACCTTATTATCTGAATCTGTGTAACGGTTTCTGAAAACGATATCTTTCAAGACCTTGAATGGATTTGAGCGCCGTTTTCGGGTAGGTAAATTTCGTTTCGAATATTTCTTTGGATTCTTTGAATGAAAGCTAATTTTTTTGAAGAAATTCTTATACTTTCGCTTCTTATTACCCTTGTCTTTATTACTTTTTAACTTGATAACCCCGGTTGGTTTATGAACTAAGTTGACATCTACGTAACCATTTTTCGTTGCATATGTCCCTAAAAGAATATTTCGTAAATACGTGAATATAACTTGTAAAGGCTGTATCTTAAGTAATAATAAAAATATGGGTATTTTCGAGTATCATAATACTATTATTTAGTGAAGGGTATAATTTAAATGACTAATTAATATTATAATAACCTATTACAGTAGTAGCTGGAGAAACAATACTGGTTTTCAATTTATCAGAATTGTTACTTATTTTGAACTTTTTTAGAGATCTTCTGACTTGTTTGTGCTTATTTTGAAAATTTTTAAGCTGATTATTATCAGAGTTCCGCGTTGACAATTGACTATATTCCTTACGATCTTCTTTCAGCGATACCGTCTGAGCAGTGTGAAACTTTTTTGGAGGATCTTTATCAATGAACACGTAAAAATGTTTTTTAAACCACGAATCGTCACTCTTTGTGGATATATCTTGATCTTCTAACGTTTCTTGTTCAAATAAGTAACGTTTTTTCCTTGTAGTCGGTAGCTTTGGAAGCTTCTCTAATATGTATTTGCCTACATCGTCTACACTATGATGTCTGTGCGCTTGGTAGCGAACTAGATTAGAAAAGTTTTGGTTTTCCTGATCTTTCTGAAAATTTAAATAGTATTTAAATCCATTCACGTAGTCGTTATAAGAAATTTTATTACTCAGTGTATTGTAACTTATTTCATCATTTGTAGAAGTATGTACTTTTTTTGATATAGCGACGTTACGTGTAGCCCCACTATCGGAAGTTGCGTTATTTTCTTCGTTATAGTCGACTACATCTGGCATCTGATCGTCATCATATAGTTTTTGGACACTTCTTTTTAAATTTATATTCTCAAGTGATTCGTGATTCCGTTTTGAGATCTTTTCTTCTAATTTATAATCATTCATGGGTACGTTATGTGTAGTTAACTGCTTCATAACATCATTATCGTGGGATTTCAATAATAATTTTTCATATACGGACAACATAGAGTAGTCATCAGTAACTTTCGGTATAACATGTGCTTTTGACTTATTAACTGTAGTAGTTCTTTTAGTAAATAACTTTTTTTTCGGATTTTTCTTTTGGGACTTATAATTTGGGGACTCTCTTGTTTTCACAATTGGTAACATTTTAGTCGATAGCGTTGTTTTATCGACTATACCCTTATTTTTCATTGTATTGTGAAGTTGCGATTTTTGCAGTTTGTTTAGAGCTTCTTTTATCGCATTTTTGCTATGTATTATTTCTTCTTCTAAGTCATGAGATATTTTATGTTTCATTTTATAATATGCATTTTTACATTTTTCCTGTAGGTCACATTCTAGCTGATGAGCCAGTGTCGCTGCATGGTAATAAATTGATCGCATATTGCGATTATGAGGAATATTCAAATGTTGACCATGACTCCTGGGAGTGCTTATCATCGAGGCCATATCGAAAGTTGTTTCAGTTACAGCGTTACTAATAATATCGGCCGCTGATGGTATCTGCTGTAGCATTATCTGCAAAGCCTTTTCTTTTATTTCTGACAATACTGTCTCAATTTCAGCAGTACCACCAAGATAAAATTCACTTTCAAAATGTTCCTTCACATTCTTTGTAATCTGTTCTGTCGTAGTCGGTGTTGAAGTCACTTCTATGCCATAAAGCTGCTTTAACCCACCCAAAGCCGTAGTTAACTCTTGTAACCATATTGATATGTTATTATTCAAATTAGATTGATACACATTGCTATCCTTATAAGAATCGTTAACTTGTTGAGTGATATATTTTTGAAAACCCGATAGATCTATTTCTTCGTGCGTCTTTTTGGAATGTGGTTTGTTAGAAACATGAGCATATTTAACTGCATAATGGTTGTAACCGTAAGCTGAAGGATGTATGTGGTCATTTCTATTATCATGTTTTACATTATTTAGATCGTCCATACTTTTTGATGTAGGGCGTGAATCAATAAGTACCATAAAAATAAATAGCCTGAAACATAAATATATTTATGCTATACTTCTTCACTTTAAGGTTGACAAAAATAATCAAGACAAGTACACGAGACTGGTATGGTATTTATTTTACGTTACAAAACAATCAAATCGATACATCTTAAATCATATGAATTTACTTACCATATCAAATCTATAAATATCATTTGCCAATGAATTCAAAATAATACGGAACTAAAATTACTTCAAACTCCATTTGTGAGTGAGTTTGCAATTGTTTGACATTGGGTGAAGAATTATATCTTTATGACATTGAAATTTATGTCAACAGGATATATAAAATTTTAATATTAAAAAATGTATACGATCCTGGCATAGATAATATGATAAGACTTGTAGATCAATCTAATTAAAAAATATACTTAAACATCTAAGCTGTTTCGTTGTACGTCTGTTTATACAAATAATTTGAAATAATCAATAAACAAAGTTATGTACTTCTTTAAACAAAAAATGTATGTATTTATGATTAAATAATATATTTTTTTCTATCACAAAATTAATTTTTCGTTATCTATTTATATAAGACTAGCTTGTCCAGCAATCGTCGTGTTGTTGTTTGCAAGATTTCCTCGTTTTTTCTACATTTCCCACTGTTTCTTCGCTGCGTATCGGTATTTGTCGCAGCGGAATGTTATATAGCCAAAATGAGAGGATTTTTTCATTCGATCCAGTAGTTTCTGAGATTAGCACGTCCAAACAAACTCTTCAGTATAAATAATAGTTTGAAAAAATATCACGCGTGCCTATAAACTAATTTAACTACTTTGTTCCTGTTAAGTATTTTGTATTAGATTAAATTAAACAAGATTTCACCATCTCGCTAGGCTACTTAAGCACTTAAAGTGTCGTCGTGGAGACGAATGACTCAACTTCGCTTTCATACAAACTTTTGGTAGAGCAAAATAGAATTTTCCTCAAAGTCAAAATCACTATTAAGTCTGGGACTACAAATACCTTCCGTGTAATATTTGCATACGATATTCGATGAGTTCTACGAAAATGTAACAGTCTCTTATAGTCTAAATGAAATTGAAGTATATGTTTATATCGTTAGTGGTTCTAGGGCAGATTTATTAAGTTTAGTTTAGTTCTAGGACCCATAAGACTGCAAGGGATTTACCTACATCGATCATTAGTGATATACCTAGAATAAAAAAATATTTTTCCAGTTTTCATTCCGTTTAGTAATCCGTTTCGTTTGTATTTATTTAATTAATAGATTTTCATCTAAAACAATTACATCGCGTAGCTGGACATATGTAATGGTTTAAGCTCGCTTACATAATTTTTATTATTTATTTACAACTTATTCTACCTAATACAACATAATATAGTAATTAACTATGATTTGGCGCCCTCTGACGGATGCAAGAAATACTCTTTGATTATTTCCTTACACTTATCAGGCGCAGATAATAGTTTAGATTATGTTATTCTTACCATTTTGTTCAAATAGGTAGGCAAAATGCAATCGCATACTCGTTCTGGCAGATCCCGTAGATTTTTTGCCCGCTCTTTGTATTTGAGTGCTGAGAAGTTACTAAATTAGTAACTACACAACTCCGGACTTCCTCAATTTAAATACTAAAGAAAAAATAATTTCGCTTTATCAGTCAAATGTATATAACTAGACCAAGGAATATTGCATATTAATTCAGAAAGAATATTAAATGCATCCAAGTAAGTAGCGAGTTTGTTCTGTTTCAATGCAGTTTATGAACTAGGAACTTAAGTCGGGGTTGTAGGTGAAGCATGAATTGTTGATGAATTCATTGCAAGTGTCGACAGACGTTTCGTGTCTCTCGGGATTAAACGCGAATATTCATGCTTAACGTATCTACTTATAATACGGTTATCTTCTCTTGTGAATTTCTAAGCCACTCAATGTTACAAGACTGTATTTTACAAATAAATGTATGTATTTTACAAATAAAGAAACCTCCTTTTCATCTGACGAGTCAGATGAAAAGGAGGTTTCTAAAAACAAATTTTGATGCGCAAAATAACTATTCTACGCAGACGAAGTCGACTGATACATCTAATAAAATTATATACATAAATGGGCGTTCTAAAGATAAAAAAAGTGTATACAAGAAATAAAAATACGCCTTATCCCACTCGTCATTTGTTGGAAAAAAAAATGTGACCCTAGAACTAAACGAGAAATTTTTATGCTTCGCAAATGCGTCTGTCTAGTTAACAAGTCAGGGTAAATGTTTACAAAATCCGACGCGGTCGGGTGGAGGGTGCGTGCGCTCTCATTAAACCTCCTAATGAGTGTCGCGCTGTGCCTGCGAAGTGACATTAATTAATTTAGTTTTATATTTGTTGCTGAATCATTTAAAAGGCCCGTTTCAACAGATTAAACATAACCGACTAAGTATGAATGTTCTGTGGATATAAGTTAAAGATAAAATATTTATGCTTCAAAAATATATGTTTTGGAGATTACCTTAGCAACTTTATTTACTTAGCCTTCACTAGCTTACTAAAATGGTCGAGAAGTCCAATTTTTTTTTTTTGTTTGAGCAGCTGGTCTATCTTGCGCGCTTCGAGTGAGATTTTTCAAACGGTTTTATAGTTTTGTCTTGTATCATTGCTAAAATGAAGGCACGTTTATATGTTTTTTAATAAATAAAACCGAGTAATGTCTTATGTAACGCGAGTAGTACAAATTTAAATAACACAATAACACTTTTGACGGTTTAAAAGACGAAATGCAACACTAAAAATAATGAAAGCAATATTTAAAGCATTGAAACTTCGACCCATAGTTATAAATAATATACTTCCTGTTTTACTCCGTTAAAAGTGTGTTAATTATAAGTACAACATACTGCTTTGTTCAGTGGGGGTTTTTGTTTATGTACTCTAACACGCGTCCGAAAAACTTCCAGTTATTTCATGGAAGCTCGCCAGGTGAGAGAGACGGACACTAAATACTGTCTATAGTTTACGCGAGTGGTACACATTTAAATAAAACACTTTAACGGTTTAAACTAATAAGCTAATATATCGCGTTTTAAACCGTTAAAGTGTTTTATTTAAAAGACGGACGCTATTCTATATCCATGTTACCAATCTTTTTGTCTACTTCAACTTCGTTTCCATTACACATACCTATTGGAATCGCTAAAGAACGTAAGGGTTGGGTTTACTTAGGCTATTTGTGTTGTCCGAACCGGTTGAGCATTGTCAACTTAATAAACGTAAGGCACTTGTTAGTCTCGATCCGTTTATCTAAAGATTCATGTCCACTAAACTTCTGTTTGATTGCTCGAATTCAATCACGAACTATAGACGGAAGCTCTTGTTATCTGCTCGAGTTTATTGGAATTGATACTGAGCGTATTTATTATTTCTCACGTAAATTGTGTATTTGACGATGTCCGTACTAAGTATCCCGCATGAGAAATATTTGTATAAGCTGTTGGTATTCACTAGTGGATAGTATAATAGACTACAGATGTATTAGTGGAGTTCAAAAACAGTATCGAGGGCAATGTTAGTTAAAATATCGACGTTAAATTTTTTTCATAAAATTCTAGTGTCGAACCGAACTACTTTTAAATAAATAAAGCAAAATACATGTATATATATTTATATTTAACATTTGATGGAAAATTAATTACTTATAAAAAATAATTTTATTTTTGTATGTGAAACTTGATAAATATGGTCAGTGAATTAAAGGTTTTTTTTTTATATATTAGTGTCAGGCCTGGTCGCAAATTTACTGGCGGTCCTTAAAGCCCACCAAAATACACTGGAACAGCGTTGTGGGTCTTTCTCTTTTGCTTATGAAAAGGACATTAGTCGTGGCTCTAATGTTAGCTAATATTCAACGAGGTATCGTTCACACATGAAAAAGTCGAGAGGTTTAAACGCGTTATGGCTTTACTCTGTGGATTTCCGAATATCCAAAGCTAAAATGGGTCGACAGCGCATCTTGTTTAGATGTTACATGGCACCGTGAAACCCCCAAAAAAATCCAACCAGTGGGGTTTTATGTTCAAAGGATTTTTAATACAAGTTTATGAAACTAAAACGTGTATAACTTCATTTCTATGCAGTAGTACTTTGATTAGATTACTATTGTCAACACACTGTCAGACTGTGGACACAAGATAGTGACATTAAATGCACACTCACGAATTGGCTCTTAATTATAGCGCTGAATAACATTAATACGGGAATAGATAACGCATTGACTTACATATTGATAAGGAGGTTATGTATTCATTTCAATTATTCCCATGATTCCTCCTGTAGCTAAATATATCCTAATACTGTCTATAGTTGCAGCAGCAGCCTCCCCGTGACCACGGCTGCTGCAAAGTATCCGAAACGTCGAACCGAAGTTAAAAAACGTTTTCAAATAAGTTTAACTAATATATCGCGTTTTAAACCGTTAAAGTGTTTTTTAACACGCAACGAAAACCCTTAAAAATGATTAATTTTCCCCATTTTTTCCACATTTCCCACTGAATCTTCGCTCCTATTAGTCGCACAGTAGTTTTATAGCCTTCCTCGATAAATGCTCCATCTAACACATTTTTTTTTAACTTTAACCATTTTTCAGAGATTACAGTGTTTAAAAACAAACGAACTCCTTAACTGTATAATATTACTATAAATAATCCCATAATATGTTCATAGGCGGCCATATTGTTATAAAAACAAAATTGTAATACACTGTGCAAATGCCAACGTAATCATTTACGTATTTTTCATATAGAACGCTTTTGTTTAAAACTACTTGAACAAAACTGTGAAGGAATATTCAGTGATATCTTTTCAATTTTCTCCTGAAAGGTGGGTGTCTATTGAAATTCACCTGGACGATATTGAATATTGCGATCCGATGAATGTCAAAATGCATATGTATGAGAGTTTTGTCTTCGCGATTCTATTGCTTTTTCATT